CTGTGAACATTCTAAACTAACACAAGTCTCATTAAGTGTCCAGTTTAAGGGTATTACACAGAAACATACCAAGGGAACATGAATCAAATATGTACTTTTATTTGAGACGAGAACATACACACTAAGGACTTGAGCTGAGGTGAGAGAAACTTGCTCGCTTCATTACAAAAAACTTGTTTACATGGTTGATCGTACATTGCGAGGCCATTGGAGTTCCTGGTGTGAGGCACAAATGAACACAATGCTGGAGAGCCAAGTGCTTTTCATTTCTTCTGGGCCGTAGCTGGGGCTACACCCGAGGCTGAGCCCTTGATGATGACGTTTATCACTCCTACCAGATGTTGCTACTGCGGGGCAAGGTGGCAATGTCGCTTTCAACATATTTTAGATTTCTGTGATGGATGAGGGACTCGGTCTCGTCTTGGAGCTCGTAACAGCCCTCGGTGTCATGGCTGACGCCATAGTGGTACTTGTAGTATTTCCTTGGGTTATCCCTCTTGGGGTTCCTCTTCATCTTCTCAGGCCACTTCATGTACCCCTCCTTCCCTACCTACATGAGGATATGCGCTCGGGTGGAGTTGAGTGGTGTGTATTTGTCGTAGGACAGGGCCGGCAGCCTCTTGTCAGTATCTTTGTTGTTGTTGTCATTGTTGCGGCCGTCTCCATTCTTCCTCTTCTTCTCTGAGCTCCCATGGTTGTGGTTGGCCTCTCCTCGGCGCTAGCCAGCTGAGGCCTCCTCGGCGGTGATGTACTCCTAAGCCTTTTTCTAAAATTCCGTCATGGTTTTAGGCGGTGTCTTGGTGACAGAGCACTTGAGGGCCGACCTGGGTAGGAGGCCATGGATTGCTATGTGCATGGAGACCATGGGGTCGAGGTCCTGGACCTCAAGCTCTTCTTTCTTGAAATGGTCAATGTATGACCGTAGACTCTCATCACGCCTCTGTCGGACGGTCATGAGCGAGATGACACTCTTTTAAAGTGGGCAAGGAAAAGATTGATGAACTTGTCCCACGTGCTGATAGAGCAAGATGGGAGCCTGAAGAACCATCGAAAAGCTGCCCCCTTGAAGGTCACCCGGATAGCTCAGCASGTCAAGGCATCAAAATATCCATAAAGGGTCATAAGCGCCCAGAATCTTTCCAAGTGATCGTCCGGGTCTGTAGTGCCTTCATACATCTCCAGTGTGGGAGCTTTAAAGTGAGGTGGAAGGGGCTTCGAGGTGATGGCGTCGGTGAAGGCATCCATTTTGTTGGATGAGGGATTCTAGCTTGTCAAGGCATTACCTCGGCTCTCCTTAACTTGCCAAAGTTCATCTTTCATCTTTAATGTTACCAACCTCATCCTAGTCCTCTCAGATGCGGAATGGGTCGGCCTTATTCCCTGAGTACTCTGATGTGGGCACATCCTGGTTCCTTCTGGCCCGTCGGTCATTTAGGAGTTCTTGAAGGTCTAAGATATGAGAGGGAGAGGCGTGGTGTCGGCCCCAACCCTCGGAGGAGGGCTGTAGTAGCCAGACCACCCACCTTCATCCCGCGGGTTCTCTGATTGATGGTGTCATCCTTGGTCTCGGCGATGGTCACAAGACCGCGCTGAGTCGTCCCCTCATCGGCTAGGGGATTGGTAGGTCCTCGACGCTTAATTGGCACATCAGCTACTACTGCTAGACCCCAAGGGGTCAGCCCTATTTTGTCCAATTGGGCGTTGAACCAACAGAGCTTGGGAAGAGCGTCCGTTGTCACGCCCCAGGCTTCCAGCAGGGTAGGCTCTTGCCGGTTGCCCCACATTGTCCAATCTTTGTGTGATGCTGTTGAATCGGTCGAGGACTACTTGGAATTGGTCCACCATGACCAATTGTTTCTAGCCATTTTGTTGGAAGCTTAGTAGTGGATTTTTAGAGCAAGTGTTTAATTGAGGGAAGTCTTAGTAGACATGCCCACATAYGGTGGCAATTGTTGTTGCCTTGGATGGGCCAAGGGCAGCAAAGAAAATTTGCTTCCGAGTCGATGGCTAATTGATGAGTTTGAGGTCCGCTGTGGCTGAGAGCATGTAAGTCTGACCTGTGGAGGAGGAAACACATCAAAGGCCCCAGGTTCTATCTTGGGGGTGCATATTTTGACGGTAAAGTTAGTAAAAGCGTAGCAAAGAGGGCGGACAAGGCCTGAGTAGAGTAGCTTAGATGAGGTCGACAAGAAGTTAGAGAGCTTGGAGTAGTGGGTGTCCAAACCCCTTACCTTAGGGGGGTCATCCCCTATTTATACTTGAGTCCACTTGGAGGTAGGTGTGTGCAGACGACTAGGATGCAGTTCTGAAGGGATATGAAATCCATCACATGGACGCCCAAAAGGTGCGGAATAGGGTGGGCGAATTTCAAAAATTTCTCTCCCTTCAGCTGGGAATCGTATTCCCTATTTTAGAAAAATCATATTTTTCAAGGATCAATCTTGAACCATAAACCGAACCAGATTTGAAATGAAATAGTGGGAGAGGGGATATACCTGATATAGAGAAATAGTATCTCTCAATGGAGGTGTTCACACCCAAAGAAGAACACCAAAAACTGCTCCCACTGAAGATGACACAATGGATGGAGGAGCAGAATCAGCAGAGTCCGTCCCACGAACTGAATTCTTCAGTAAGAATCCAATGGAGGCAGTGAGCACAACTTCCTATCAGCCTTTCAGCAAAGACTGATATCAAGATCCAATCTTGACCACTCCTACAATGTTGGAGAACGAACTGGCCGTATGGCGGCAGTAGGAAGGGATCACGGGGAGAAGGCGCAGTCACACTGTGTATTCTTCACTCTGTAATTCGAGATCTAGTATCTCTGGAACTTCTGGGATGATCTTGATCGTTCGCCCCCTCCTGCTTTACAAGCTTAAAGAGATCAGCTCCTGATCCTTTCAGGAGTTTCCTAATTCAGACCATTATCTGAATTTGGACTCTCTTTAAGTGATAAGGATAAGACCCTTATCTTATCTGCAGATTAGATCAGCCTTCTACTGATCTTATCAGGAGGTTTCCATATCTGAATTCAGATCTGGTCTCTCTGAGTGGATAGAGTGGGACTCTATCCTATCAACTGATTTAATCCCAGATCCACCCCCTCTATTTAACTAATTAAAACAGACCAGTTTGAAATGGGCTTCAGGCCCAATAAGTCTATGTGCTCAAAACTGCTTCCAAACTGCTGCCCAGTTGGGCTTCTTTGTATGGCGTGGGACCCAAGCATTGATCT